TTCCCGCTGACAATCTTAACAAGCTTTGACAAATACAAATACAATAAATGCAGTCATGTATGATATATGTATGTGCTAATAAATTGACACATGTATATAGAATTATGTACTTCCCCATGTATACGCATTGTTTGTTAGTCTTTTAATAAAACATATTGCGGATTCCCCTAGTCATCAGTGAAATATATTTATGTATGCGATATGTGAAATTAGTCACATTTTCCATTCGTATTATTTTACTCTCGGGGGTTCTTATTATTTAAAGAACTAAATAAAATGCAGTTTTTAATAAAATAAAAAAATTAATAAATAAAAAACAAGTAAGAAAGCTCTAGCTGAGACTGCTCGACTACGAGATCCCCTAAACCCCTCGAGCAACTGATATTTCAATATTTACTCACACATGCACACACGCATAAACACGCAATGGCTGCACCGTGGTCTTCCCCTGGGAGCTTAGTAATTGTTTAATAACTTTTCTAGTGGGTGGACTATTATAACATGGATATACATGCATTTGCTAAAGCACAAGTCTCTAGTATTTAAAATACGCCTTTTACATATATGACTTATAAAGTACATATAAGTTTACATTTAAAATCTGGCGACTTTAGCTTTAAAGATGTAGCAGATATAAATTTATTACTGATTTTCGAAAATGTTTTTAATCGATAACAAATTAACGCAACAAGTTATAGTTTTTTGAAGAAAAGCTCGATATGCCCGTGGATATGCCTCACGGACACGGCTAAATCGACTCAGCTCGTCGCCCTGATCAGTATATACATACATACTGTATGGGGTCTGTCACGCCTCCTTCTGCCTGTTACATATTTTTAATAAAACCATTATACGTTGATTTCCCATTTTCAATGGGTTAAATCATTGAGCTATAAATTGATACTTTTCATTATACAATATGATCCAATTCATAAAGTAAAATGACCATGAGTATAAGCTTGTCGCGACCCTAAAGGGTCATAAGCCATAAAGATATGGATTTACTTTAATATCATCCATATTTTTTCTATATCTATGAAATCTTCTGTTAGTTCAAAACTCCTAATCGGAAGGTCATTGTTAAATGGCTATATACATACGGCAAGAATATTTTTATTTTTTAATACATTTATTATTTCAATATTGAATACATATATTTTTACAACTTTTGACATTTGGCTTTCTAAAATTTATATTGCATATTTAGACCGCACCCCATATCGGATTTACCCCTGAAAGGTCCGCTGGTGTGGCGCATTGCGTTTGCTGTGGCACCCACGTTTAGATTGCCACTGGGCGAAGTGTAGAGGTTGGCACTGCCACTGGCATTCACGGTGGTCATATGATAATTGGGAATATGCTTAACACCCAATGACGCTGAATGGCCTGTTTCGGTCTTTACATTCACTGCTCCAAAAACGCCCTTGTCAAAAACTCCGACACGTGCGTTGACTTTTTCATCTCCGACTGATACTCCACAATTAACAGCCTTAGCAATTCCTGTTTTTGGATCTTTATTAACTTGACAATCCATTTTTGAGTTTTTTTTTAAATGTATGAATTGTTAATGCTTAAGCGATTCAAGTATCTCTGATGTTATCCACCACGGATTTCTGCTCTTTTATACTTTTTGAGATGTACATAGCTATTTAAAGCACGAACAACAAAGGCGGTGCATTCCCGCTGACAATCTTAACAAGCTTTGACAAATACAAATA